GAGAGTAATACTATTAAACTGGACGGATGGTGGAGGTGTGGTTGAATCAGGGGCAAACTGAAAGAAAATCTGAGTCTTACGTGCGTTCACCTCAAGGTCGAAGTGTGCATACGTATCTACATTCGAGTAGGTGTTTAGGATATCCTGTAGGTCGCGTTCAGTGTGAGCTACGATTGTGAGGTTGTCTGCATACTGAAGTTCAGTGATGGAATCGGCCGACACCTTTGATCCTGCCTGAAGTCGTCTTATGTCAAAAATTCCTTTCCTCCGGTACTCGATGTCCACCCCGCTGGCTAAAGTTGCACAGGCACGAGCAAGGAAGGCAGCCAAGAAAATGGAAGAGAGAGTTGGTGCCAGTACACAGTTCTTGTTTTACCTCTGTTTGGATGGGTGCCATTGTGCAGGACACTGCCGTCCATGCCATCTTGGAGTTGCTTCACAATGGCGACGAATTTTAGCGGGCAGCCAAAACGGTTGAGGGTCCACCAGAGGCTTCCCTGTTGACCGAGCCGAAGGCCTAGTAAGGTCAATGAAGGCCATGTACAAGTCACGACACTGTTCTCTGCATTTTTCCTGTAACTGGCGGGCAGCAAAGATCATGTTAGTGGTGCCATGTGATGGTCTAAAGCCACATTGAGATTCTGGGAGGAATTTTTCCGCCTCAGGAAGAATTCAATTTAGGAGGACTCGAGGGATAATCTTGCCAGCTACGAACAGCTGTGAGCTCCCATGGTAGTTGCCACAGTCTGATTGGTCTCCGTTATTCTTATAAATCTTGACGATGGTGGCATTTTTAAGATCTTTGGGGATTTCTTCCTTCTCTCATTATTCTCCAGGAGTGAGTGGTCCTCCTGCTTTATACACCTCGGCTGGGATTGCACCTGGCTCAGTGGCTTTGTTAATTTTCATCTGTTTGATGGCAGTAGCTACCTCATCCAGGGATGGAGGATAGCTGAGGTGGATCAGCTCAGGGTGCTGAGAGACCTTCTGGGTAGACAGAACATCCACATCGGTGTTTCGGTTGAGCAGCGAATGATAGTGCTCTTTCCAGAACTTATGGGTGCCCTTCGTTTTTAATGTTAGGAGTTACCGTCGGATGAGCGGAGGGGGGCCAGGCCTTGAGTAGTTGAGCCATATATTGTTTTAGCTGAATTTAAAAATTCGTTCATCTTGTATTGATCTGCATTTTTTTTGCGTTTCACATGCTTTTTTTTCCGTCATTCGTTCATTAGTTTGCAAAGTTTACGTTGGACTACTGTTTTCTTCTCGTGGAAGGTATCAGCTTTGGTCCGAGACATAGGGTTGTTCTGCCAGTCAGTGAGAGCAGCATATTTACTATTGACGAGTACATCGATTTCCGGGTCGCTTTCATCAAACCAAGCCTGGTGTTTTCTTTTCATCAGGCCAAGTGTTCATTGCAGGTTTTTGTGATGACAGTTTAGATGGGACTCCATTTGACACTGGGATTTTGATTGATTTTTGTTTGATTGTTTATCAGCTCATCATTGAGCTGTTCTCTGAAGGCCTGTGCTACCGATGGATCCTCCAGTCGCTTGGTGTTAAAGCCTCTTCTGGAGGTTTACCTTTTCGCCATTTTGGGGCAACGTGAAGGGAGAGTTTGGCTCTGATGAGCCGAAGATCTGTGTCACAGTGATCTCAGCCACACATGGTTCTGGTGATGAGGACATCTTGGCTATCTCTTTCTCTGACACTGATGTAGTTAATGAGATGCCAATGTTTGGGTCGTGGGTGTTGCCAAGAACCCTTTAACTTGTCGGTGTTGGTGATAGTGAGGTTGTGTTCAGCACACTTGCTAAGGAGGAGTTGCCGTTGGGATTACACTTGCCTACTCCGTTTCTCCCTATGGTTCCCTGCCATATGTCAGCATCTCTGCCAACTGACATCAAAGTCACTTAAGAGCACAACCTTATCTTCTCTGGAGATAGAGTTTAGCACTCTGTCAAGGTCGGCATAGAAGGCCTCCTTCATGTCATCCTCTGCTTCCAGTGTTGGGGCATATGCACTGATGAAGAAAGCATGACGTGAATGAATCAGTGAGACTCGGAGCGTCATTAGGAGCTCGTTGATCTCAATAGGCATTTCAGTTAGCCGATGTAGAATGGATTAGAGAAGGGCAAAGACAACCCCGTAAATGCGGTTTCTCTCCGCCACGGGTTTACCCTTCCAGAAGAAGGTATAGCCGAACCCCCGTTCTACAAGTCGACCCTCGTCTCGGAGCCAGAAGTCACTCATGGCTGTTGTCACATTATGGAATAAATTATGTTTGTGTTTACCTTTACTCTAAAAATTCTCTTGTTCTAAATGGGTTTTGTTTTGTTCTGTTGCAGATGTGTATGGATTTATGAGTCGAATAAAGCCTTGATTACTGAAGGTATTTGATCTTATACGACAATTTATTCAACTCATATTCTACTAGCAACATGGAACGCATACTCTGCCCTGACAAGCTTGATGTTGATCCAAATTCCCCAGCTGCTGAGAAGGAATACAAGCATTGGCGTAAAACTTTTGAAAACCTTATTGATGAGTGTGGAGACAGAGTGCCTGACAAACTACGATGTTTGACAAAATATGTGTCTGCCACTGTGTATGAATACTTTGCTGATGCTACAGAGTTTGAAACAGTGTTGGAAAAGGTGTATGTGAAAAAGAAAAATGAGATATTCGCCAGGCACCAGCTCGCCACAAGACGTCAGCGTCCTTCTGAAACACTGGATGAATTTCTTCGCGACTTGCACAGACTCAGCAAAGATTGTACTCTAAAGGCTGTCACAGCCGAAGAATATCGTGAAGAGTTAGTACGGGATGCCTTCATCAAGGGACTGTCTTCTGCAAATATACGTCAACGTCTATTGGAAAATCAGGCTCTCAGACTCTCTCAAGCCTTTGATCAAGCTAGAGCCCTGGATCTTGCACAGTATACTTCGGAAGTCTTCCAGCCACTAGGCCCTGTCATTGCAGCAGCTTCAGGATGTGTGGAGGAAACTGTTAAGTCACCGTACACTAATCAACAAGATATACGTCCAGTTGAGGACTCAACACTTACTAGTATGACCACTAAGAAACGATGTTGGTTTTGTGGTGGCAGTCTTCATTTACGGGCGAGATATCCAGCTAAAGATAGTGATTGCTCTTCATGTGGAAAAAGAGGGCACTAGGCAAAAGTCTGTCAGACTAAGGATAAGAAACAAGTCACGGCATCATTTCATCTCCTACTCCTTGTGCCATCTCAACTGCTGTTCCTCATTGCCTGAATTGCTCTACTACAAACTTAAAGGTAAATGGAAGACGAATCTCCGGCCTTATTGATTCGGCAAGCTCTGAGAGTTTCATTGACAAGAGAGTGGCCCATCGGCTTAAGCTTCACATCAAACCCGTTTCCCAAAGTATAACCCTGGCAATGTCTTCTTCAACGGCTTCTGTCATAAGTGAATGTACGGTGGATCTATATATGAATGGCAGTCATTATCCAAACACACGCCTGGGCGTCATTGAAAATCTTTGTGGTGATGTTATTCTCGGCATAGATTTCCAAAAACAACATTCCTCAGTTACCATAGAGTATGGAGGACCCAGACCTGAGCTCAAGATTTCCAACATTGGTAACAAGCCTGTATGTAGCCTGGCATCAGCAGGTATGTCAGAACCACTGTTATTTGCAAACATGCGAGGAGATGCAAAGCCGATAGTCACCAAATCTAGGAAGTAGCTCTACTGACCAAAAGTTCATTACCAAAGAAATACAACGCTTACTGTCTGAAGGCATCATAGAATCAAGTACATCACCTTGGCGTGCACAGGTGGTGATTGCAAGAGATGATTCAGGCTGTCACAGAAAACGAATGTGCAGCGACTACTCTTTTACGGTGAACATTTACACCAATCTCGACGAATATCCATTGCCAAACATAGAAATGATGGTCAACACTCTTGCTAAGTACCACGTGTTCTCAACATTTGATCTAAAGAGCGCATGCTATCAACTACGCATAAGCGAGTCTGATAAACCCTTTACAGCATTTGAAGCAAATGGCAGATTGTATCAATTCACACGTGTACCATTTGGTGTCACTAATGGTGTTGCCGTTTTTCAAAGAGCCATAGACAATTTCGTGGAGGAGGATAATTTATGTGACACATTTCCCTACCTTGACAATATTACTATAGGTGGTCAGGATCAGAAAGAACATGACGCAAATCTTGAGAAATTTCTTGCTGCTGCTGAGGAAAGGAAGCTGACATTCAATACATCCAAATCTACAATATCAGCAACATCGATCAATCTTCTGGGTTATCAACTTGGAAATGGTCAAATCAAACCAGATCCTGAAAGACTAAAACCACTGCAAGAACTTCCACCACCTACAAACCGATCGGCTCTTCAACGTGTACTTGGTATGTTTGTTTATTACGCTAAGTGGATCCCGGAGTTTTCAGACAAAGCATGGCCTCTCTACAAGGCTAAATCTTTTCCTCTGGACCGTGAAACGCTCACTGCTTTTGATGACTTGAAGAAATTGCTTGGGGAAGCTGCTCTAAACAGCATTAACCATGCCATCACATTTGTTGTGGAGTGTGATGCATCGGATGTGACCGTGTCTGCTACTTTGAATCGAGCTGGTCGGCCAGTAGCCTTCATGTCTCGGATGTTATCTGGCAGTAAGATTCACTATCCTCCTGTTGAGAAGGAGGCGACTGCAATAATTGAAGCGGTGAGAAAGTGGTCTCACCTGTTGTTGGGACGGCACTTCACCATTGTTACTGACCAGCGATCAGTTGCATTTATGCTGGACAGTCGTAGGAGGACTAAGATATAAGGGTGACGGCTCGAACTCGCTTGTTTCAGCTATTCCATTTAGTATCGGCCAGGTAGAGACACCGTTGCTTCTGATACTTTCACCCGAGCGTTCAGCAGAGCCATCTCATCGTCAAACCTAACTGTCATCCATGAAGGGCTCTACCACCCGGGGGTTGTCAGAATGCTTCATTTTGTCCGGACAAAGAACCTCCCATTTTCTACGGAGGATGTGAAAAAGGTCTGTCCAACTTGTGTATGTGCTAAAATCAAGCCAACATTTCACAGGCCTACTGAAAATACACTTATCAAAGCTACTCAACCAATGGATAAACTGAGTATTGACTTCAAAGGTCCTCTTCCATCACTCACAAGAAACTCCTATCTCTTCCCTGCTGTGGAAGAATATTCCAGATTTCCCTTTGCTATTCCATGTGCTGACATGACATCCTCAACTGTCATCAGATGTCTGGATACCATACTCTCGCTTTGTGGTATGGCGAGTTTTGTCCACTCTGATCGAGGAAGTGCATCTATGTCTCATGAAGTGAAAACTCATCTCGCTAGTCATGGAGTGGCGTTCACCAAAACTATACCTTACCACCCAACAGAAAGCAGTCAAATAGAAGGGTACAATGGCATAATCTGAAAGTCCATATGTTAAGCTGCCAAATCTCGAGATTTTACGGATACTGAATGGGAGGCTCTCCTACCTGAAGCACTTCACTCTATTAGATCATTGCTTTCAACATCCATCAACATGATTCCACATGAGAGGTTTTCAGTTTTCCAAGATGATCTTGTCAGGGTACAGTCGGAAACCATAATCTCTAGCCCACCTGGGTCGGTGCTGGAGGTTAGTACAGCATCCTTTCTGGATGGAGGCCCACTCTAACTATCACGAGGCAACACACGCACGAACACACACAGTCATAGTACGGCTGTATAGATGACACTATGTATAAGTATTGTATATGGCATTTTATACTCTGCATTATCTTCATTATATATGAACACGAAGAAAAGGTACCATAGGTTGTAGTTACGAAATTATGAATGGAAATAAACACAGCCAAACCACCCAGCGTATCCACACAACGTTTACAGCACTTGTGTGTGTGTGTGTGCCAGACCACGATGCTTCCACCACACCCCATCTTTATCTTTTATTTTCCCATCATTTGCGTAACTATATGAAAAATCGTGTTTAATTATCTACATATTTCAAAAACCTTAAATTACATGTGGATCAGTCACTCCTCATTTGACACACTTATAGTGTAATACTTTGACCATCCCACCTGGGCACATGGAGGCCCAAGGTAACTCTCACGGGGCAACATACGTACGAACACACAAATTATCATATGAACCCTTCCAGGCTTCACTATCATTATTTTGTCATGTTCATCGTGCTCTGTATCTTGGTAACTAGTCATAGTATAATGCATGGAGGAAAATCTATATTAATATACTGTAATATTGCATTTTATTGCAAACCGTGAAAAATCTTGTTTAACCACTGGAAGTGAGGGAAAGCACCATATACTGGAGTTACGAAATGGAGAACCGAAGCACATAGGAATGACCGACCTGACGTCGTGTGTAGGGAGGCCTGCCGTATCAGTGTGGACACGGTTGCTCAAAGGGTAAGTCGTATAATTCATCCTTCCATTTGTGGAGAAGAGTTAAATATATCTTATAATATATAAATATATCTATGTATATATATATATATATATATATATATATATATATATATATATATATATATATATATATATATATATATATATATATATATATATATATATGCAAGTAAATCACTGTAGGTGCGTGATCTAGGTATATGACAACCACAAGGAAAGAAGAAAAACCACCTCAGTGTACACTAGTCTAGTCTGTACTCACCCCTGAAGATGTGAATTACACGAAAGCTTTGGGAACTTCTTTCTTTTTTTTGTAGCATATATATATATATATATATATATATATATATATATATATATATATATATATATATATATATATATATATATATATATATATATATATATATTTCATGTAGATCCACAATGAAAACGTGGATAAGATAAATCTTGATAAAATCACACGGGAAAATGGAAACATGGACAGAGGGAGGCTTAAATATACAGGGTAACCTTATTAAACATGAGGTTAGGTCATAATGATGTCATCCACTAATCCCCACACCAACATCAACACACACGTAGAGGAGCTTAAGAGAAGGGGGCGACGTGACTACTCAGGTCAGGCAAAAAATAAGGGACCCACTAAATAACTATCCTACATCTAGATCCAAGGATTTCAAAGCATTTTTAACCTTGGGCCACTGACAAATAAATTTATGTAACATATTATCAGGTTTGAACTGACCATCACTAAGGTTTATTGATTTTAATTCCTTAATCAAACTAGCTTCAACCAGAAGTCTTTCTGTGACACAAGATGATTTGAATACTTCTAAGCTTTTTTCCCCAAGCAATGGGATATTATTCCTCACATGAACGAACAGGGCACTGCTTTCAGATGCTGTTCTGATATTGTACTTATGTTGTCTGATTCTGAGCTGCAATGTTTTCCTGTCTGCTCTACATAATTACCAATACATTTGCTACATGGAATACAATAAACAATTCCATTTACATTCAAAGTTGGGCTATTTTTTATTAACATATTGGTAATGGTTGAGTCATACTTGAAAACTACATTAATATTTAGTAGTTTGAGGGACCGAACTAACGGGACAAATTCATTGCGATAGGGCAGAGCTAAAATATTCTCAAGTGTAGGAATTTGCCTGGTTTGAGAGTACTGAAAGGATTTTTTAGCCGAATTAAAACAACGATCAACAAACAAAGAAAGGTACCCAAGTTTTTTTTGCAATGGAACGAATGTGTTTCAATTCATCATCAATAAATTTAGCGTCACAAATACGCAGACATCTCAAGAACATAGCAGAAAAAACTGACATTTTGGTAGACTCCAGGTGATTCGATAAAAAGTGTATGAAAGTGTCTACGTGTGTGGTCTTTCTGTATACCTTAAATATGTTAATAAAAAATAGTCCAAGTTTGTATGTAAATGGAAGTGTATACAAAAGGCCCCATGCACTAATGCCTTATCCATTTATTTTCACAGTTATGGAGGTTCAGCCACAACGTCATGTGAGGCCACCTCGGACGAGAGCTAATCGACCTGAGGTGATAACGAGTCGCGGCAGGATTATTGGATATCACGAGGCAGGGAAGGGGATACGGGAGTTTAGTCGCCTTCTTGGTATCTCCAGGGATACAGTTAGGCTTTGGATGAGAAGATATGAGGAGGAGGGTCACGTGCTCACCAGGCCCCGACCAGGAAGACCAAGAGTCACCACACCAGCGGCATATCAACAGATTCAAAGGCCAGCAGAGCGAGCACCACTCTCAACTGCCGAGCGTATAACGAGGGAAACAGGAGTTCAGTGTCATCCGATAACTACCAGGAGGCGAATACGGGAGATTGGCCGACAATGTTTTATCCCAGCACGTAAGGAAACTTTAACAGAGGCACACAGAGAAGCACGTAAAAGGTTTGCTGAGGCGTATGCGGATGTGGGAGTCGATTTTTTGAGGTCCTCATTTTCACCGATGAAAAATGTTTCTCATCTGTCGCAGCAGTCGGTCGCTAGTGTTGGCGATTATGTAATACAAGATATGCTCGAAGACACATCCATGAGACATCGACAAACAATCGTGTGACAACCTCCATGCATGGGTGGATGTGGTGGGGAGGTGTTGGTGAACTGACGGACATTGAGGGACGCATGAATGCAGACCAGTATATAAATATTCTAGAGACATCCTTTCTACCATCGGTGAGAGCATATGCCATCCCAGTCCCACAGCCTATATGTATGGTGCAAGACCGCAGTCCACTACATACAAGTCGGGCAGTCAAGCGTTGGTTTGAGGCGCACCCGCAGATTATTCTATTGGACTGGCCCCCCAAAAGGAACCGATTGTAATCCAATAGAAAATCTATGGGCGCATATGGTTGTTGAATGGGATGTTGAGGAGAAAACGAGTGAGGCAGTGAGGAGACATGCACATAATGTGTGGGAGGGAATAAGGAGGAGGCCGAACATCTGCAGCAATCTGGTAGATTCCATGCCCACCAGATTGCATGAAGTTATAGCAGCAGATGGAGGTTGGGCACGGTATTAACCTATGGGCACGAGGTGTCTCAGTGGTAGTAGCCTTGCCTCGGGATCCTGTGGTCAAGAATTAAATCTCTGCCCACGACGGTGCCTTGTAGGGGGTGGCGGGGGAGTTAACTCTCTGGTGTAACCTCGTTGGGGCCACATAGACTTCGTTTCCTAACTCTCGGGAATTTGTCCAGGTATTTTACTATGTGGTTTTACGTCACTTCACATAAATATGCTTATAAAATCTATGCATTAATATGCATAGCTCTTGGGAATCTGTCCAGACATTAAATATATGTTATATACTACAATAATCACATAGATATGTTTACAATGTTTATGCATAATAAATGTGAAAATATTTTTGGGGTTTCAATTAACCAATAGTCATGCCTACAAAACAATCTTGATGCTCAAAGTGCATGTATGTGTTAAATAACGAGTAACTGATCCACATTATTTTGGTAAATAAAGAAATGAAAAGCAAGCACTTAGCCATATGGATATAGTTACACGGAAGAAGGGAAATAAGGATGAACCATGGTTTTAATGGAAACAATGTGCTCTGGGACGATGCTCACAATGACGAATGGGAGAAACCTCTTTATGAAACATCTTACCTACTAAGGATGAAGCTTAATGTTACAGAAAACACACACACACACACACACACAGTGTAACTTCGTGTGATGCGTTCTCTGACTTGAGGTGGCTTTGAGCGAACCATACACTTGATATTACAATTTATGTATCCTTCCTGTCCATGATTTACAGCAATACCTGTAGGGTAAAAGTTACAATATTATACAAATAACACTGTCATGTATTGATACTATGACTAGTTACCAAGATACATAGCACGGTGAACATAACATGATAATGATAGTGAAGCCTGAAAGGGTTCATATCATAACTTGCGAGTTTGCGCGTATGTTGCCCCGTGAGAGTTACCGTGGGCCTCCATGTGCCCAGGTGGGATGGTCAAAGTATTACACTATAAGTGTGTCAAATGAGGAGTGACTGATCCACATGTAATTTAAGGTTTTTGAAATATGTAGTTAAATTAAACAGGATTTTTCATATAGTTAGCGAATGATGGGAAAATAAAAGATATAGATTGGGTGTGGTTTAATCATCGTGGTCTGGCACACACAAACACACAAGCGCTGTAAACGTTGTGTGAATACACTGGGTGGTTTGGAAGTGTTTATTTCCATTCATAATTTCGTAACTACAACCTATGGTACCTTTTCTTCGTGTTCATATATAATGAAGATAATGCAGAGTACAAAATGCCATATACAATACTTATACATAATGTCATCTATACAGCCATACTATGACTGTGTGTGTTCGTGCGTGTGTTGCCTCGTGATAGTTAGAGTGGGCCTCCTTCCAGAAAGAAGGCTGTACTAACCTCCAGCACCGACCCAGGTGGCTAGAGATTATGGTTTCCGACTGTACATCCCTGCCAACATGGCTAACGACTCCAGGTCCTGTCTTCTTACTTCGGATTCGTCAGCTCAAGCTAAGGTGACCCTCTCGTTGATGAGGTGGAGCTCCTCGAAGCTAACCCAACGTATGCACACATCAAGCATCCAGATGGACGTGAATCTTCAGTTTCCCTCCGTGATCTTGCTCCATGCCCTGGTGGAACCTCATCCTCAGATATCTCTGCTGGATCAACCTCACCTTCAGTGGAGCCAGAAATATTGGATAATGGTGAGGGAGTTGCTGCAGAGGGAGATACCGGGACGACATTGCTGAATCCTAGTATCATGCAGGAGATACCTCTTCGTCATTCTACTCGGCGGAGAAGAGAACCCCATTGATACAGCTATGATGTCTGATTGATTATGTTGGCATATTATGGAATAAATTATGTTTGTGTTTACCTTTACTCCAAATATTCTCTTGTTTTGTTATGTTGCAGATGTATGTGGATTTATGAGTTGAATAAGGCCTTGATTACTGAAGGTATCCAGAAGGGTCCTAACATTCCATGCAGCGACCATAAGAGGTTGCTTAGTTTGTTTTTGCTTCGATCTGTGATTGTTATTATGTTTTCGACCGCATAAGGATGACTTTACTGGGTGCGGTTGCCCAGTCAGCTTGGTTCTTTAGGCAGGGTATGTTTAGGGCACCTTTTCTAGCCCCCTCCCCATATGGGGTGAGCAGAGTGACTCCTGGTAAATGTTGTTCAGTCGCATAGACAGGGCCGAATTATACTGCTGCCTAGATCCTAGAGCATACACGACCATGTTATGTATGCCGTCCATGCACAGAGTTGTGACTAGAGACTCCCGGAAGTCACCTCCGCCTGTCCCTGTCGCCATTCGTCGGTCGCCATAGGACTTTTGGGGGTATAGGGTTTTTCATGATGATGAGAGGTATGATGAGCTGGGTGATGGCTGAGCGTGAGTTGATCTATGTGGTAAGGCTGGAGTGCAGGCTGCAACCACACGTTTTGGCTCTCCCTTTTCTTGATCCAGTGGTGCAAGCAGTTGCAACGACTGAGGAGAGGGAGAGTTGCAATGGCCTGTCCATAGCCCAGTTTGCTGGGTTTCGCCTTAGTAGCCTGTCCATCGTGAATTTCCTTCATCCGCTAGTGTAGATAAGATTGTGCTCCTTTGTGACTTCAATGCCAGAGTTAGCAGAGATGCTGACATTTGACAGGGAACCATAGGGAGAAATGGACTAGGCAAATGTAATCCCAATGGCTTACTCCTCCTCGGCAAGTGTGCTGCACACAACCTGACTATCGCCAATACCTTGTTTAGGCAGTCCGACAAGTTCAAGGGTTCGTGACAACACCCACGATCCAAACACTGGCAGCTCATCGACTACATCATTGTCAGAGAAAGAGATCGCAGAGATGTCTTCAACAATATGATAATATTGTCCATTACAACTATCATTTCTTCCTTTAATTGCCTCTCACCAATACCTTTACACTTCATAATTACAAATTCAAGCTTTCCCTCCTAATATAATACGCATTATAGTTAAGTACTATATACTTCGGGAATTGAATGGAATTTTACTTTTTTAACCCATGCAAGTAATTAATGTAGATAAATTATATGATTATCACTATTACCTATTGTTTCCCCTACATCTAAGTGGTACCTACTTGAGAGGACTAAGTCCATCCAATATGTTTGTGCCCATAATCTGTCAGTCCTGTGTGTGTTAATTTGTCCAGGAAGGACTCTCTGAATATTTTCTTAGATCCATCTTTTCCCACCAATACTTCCTAAGTAACTGAGTTTAATTAAAGTCACCTAAAATAGTCTCGCTTTTGCAGACGCTCTTTATCTAATCATCAGTGTGTTTACTTCTACAGACTGGTTAGGTGACCTGTGAAAAGCCCTGTAAAATGTTTTCAGCATATCTTGCAAATTTGAGTAAAATGGGAGAAATTTCATCAAGCTTTCCCTGTACATTACCAAAACTACCAGTATGTGATAACGCTACTTTATTGCAGATGCCACGAAAATGCTATGTACCTAGCTGCAAAACAAACTACTGGTCCAGCTACACACCGACGTTCCTCTTCCCAAAAGACAGTGATCACCTGGATCAGTTGGGCAAAGGTCATTCATGGGAAGAATTTTACACTTTCTGATGATTCTATTTTGTGTGTGAAGCATTTTGCCAACAAATTTATTTTCACGGAAAGCAGACTAACGCATCCTGATGGAACTGGTATAACGGCAAAAAGAAGTGCTCCAACGCTGTCAAAAAATGCACTTCCTACAAAATATTCAAACCAGCCCAAACACCTCTCCAAGGAATTACCATCAAAGCCTACAACTCCACAAGACTGAGAAGGCCGTTTAGTTGCACGGGATGAATCAGTATTGAATGACTGGATTGTCAAAGATCATATTAAGAGTTTCCCTGAATTATGTAGTGGATTTAACAGTACACATAAGAAAGAATGGATGTCAGTTACAAATAATAGTTGTGTGTCTTTTTTTTAAAGTAAACTGTGATGGCCATCCGAAAGTGACTGTGTCTTTCAAAGTGATGGCTGATTTATCAGTTTTAGCATGGCATAAGAACACAGCTTTGCAATATATACATATATATATATATATATATATATATATATATATATATATATATATATATATATATATATATATATATATATATATATATATATATATATATATATAATTGGCTTTGAGGAAAGGAAACAAGCGCAACCAGCGGTGTAAGATCGACTCATTGTTGAGTCACTTGGGTGCTTATCAAAATACCAGTGTCCCTAATATGGATAAGTTCATCTATTGTATTAGTTTGATCTAGAAAATCCTTGAAAATGAATCTGTGACTAACACTTTGAGTTCAAATAAGGTGCAGTGATTTTGTGATGAACTATTGAAAAAAAGTACAGTTTTGAATTCTTGATCTGGGCTAAGACAGTTTATCGAACATGAGATTTTATTAGATGGTGATTCCCATACACCATGGCCTCTTAGCTATTGAACTCAGGTTGTCTGCCAAAAATCATCCTCTGGGTGTGGCGACAGTACACGTTTGAAGTCATGTGCTATCCAAAATCTGACCAGTTCTACATAGGTAGATTATATTATATTATATTAGATTATTACATTCATATTAATATATAATTACATAATAATTATTATTATATTATTACAGTCTATTGTAGTCAATTAGTTTATATCTTTCCAAGTTACTTACACCTTGGTGACATAAATTCAAAGTATTTGGAGATTTTGTAGTTAGCATGAATATGTCCTTTGCTAAAGGAACAGTTGGT